ATTCATGACCTTCTAAGTAAATTATCAGCTGGTGGAGGCATAAAGAAAGGAGTGTTGGAGCTGATCACATTAAGTCAACTCAGAATCTAAATTTCTCCTTCCACCAAGTTCTGTCTCATGCAGAGCAGAAGAAACCTGAACAGCTGTTTTCCTATCTGCTTTGCAGGATTTGTCACTGAGAGTCCCTTTGCTCTCTGAGGAATATGATGTGGTAGCTTGCAATTCATGAGGTCACTGCAACAGGATAAACAAATCTTCCTTATCACAAGGAATGAAGATAATATAGCACCAATTCAAAAAATAAAGTACAGCAGCTGAGAAGGCACAAGCAAAGAAGTTTCTCATCACTTCCTATTATCACCTGTGATTTATCAGAAGTCTGTTCATACTCTGCAGGACTGTGGGCCTAAGTACATGGAACAGTGCACCAGCTCTGTGGCTTTCTCTTTATCCTTGGCCAGCCAGGACCCACATGTGGACAAAAATTCAATAAGAATGTCAGGGCAAGAATGTGGCCAAGGTTAGTGAGCATGTTGTGCTCAGCAGGCATGGTCATGCTACAAGATGTTGCTTTCAGTTGGCTCTGAGGCTGCTCAGATGAAGTGAGAGAGGGGTGCATAGACATACCAGGAAAGATATTCCACCTACAGCAGCTTGTCTGAGATACATTTTGTCAATAAGTAACACCGTAGCACACATTCCTCCAAACAATTGTAACAGGAAAGCCCTGCCCAGCATTTCTTACTCTGTTTCCTTTTCTTTCCCTCTCCCTGGATTGGGCATCACTGCCCCAGAGCAATGGGGCATGTGGGTGTGGATATCCTGCTGGGAGAGTCCTCGTTACACCCCACCAAAATCAAGGAGACCTCTGCCACTCCAAAAACCACTGACATCACTAATGCAGCCCCTGAAGGTCAGATCGAGTCAGAGCACAGATGGAACTCCTATCTCAATCCTGTTCGAACACCTAGTAGGGAACTTTGCTAGGTTTTGGCATCAGTCTTTTGGCTACTTCTCCTTGTGTGCGTTTGTATGTAAGGAGTGAGCCAGACTGGTGCTTTTTGGAACTGCTCAGTTTCTTTCAGTGCTTTTTTTTTTTTTCCTTTTTTTTTTCCTTTTTTTTTTTTTCTTCCTTTTTTTTTTTCCTTCTTTTTCATAACATTATTACTCTATTAATATTTCTGAAAGCCAAGTCTTACTCCGATGGGTTCTCATGATTACAGATTAAATGCTGCAGAGGAGATGACAGTCCTCACATGTGCCAATGAGTCAGTGAATTCCTTTGTGAAGCCTAAGTCCATCCAGATGTTGACCTCAGCTCTAATGCTATGTTCTTTGCCTATTTTCCTCTCGTATTTCTGGGTCTACTTAAGATGGGTATGACGTGACCATCAGTGAAGAAAGGCAAGCTCTCTGAGAGGGTAAAATGTTTTGCTTTCTACAATAGGATTGTGAAGCTCTTTCCACTGCCGTAATTCTTGGCTGATGCCCTACAAATGCTTGTCTTGCGACTATTATTGCTCACTTGGTACTGTTTGCACTGCGCAGGCGTAAATGTCTACAGGCGATCTAAATATGAGACAGTTACTTTATGTGGGTCTAATTCAGAATAGCAGGCTTTTTCTACAGAGCCAAAGAGGAACATGGAACTATACTGGTAAGCAGACAGTACAGAAAAGCAAATGGACCTATCTGCAAATGTTCTGTTTGCACAGTCCAACAGCAATATTTTCACTAAATACAAAAGAGAAAATTGTAGCTGCATAGCCAGATTCTCCCAACAATTTTGCTGCTTCTTTGCTTTCTTTTATAAGCCATTACTTAAAATCACACTTTCTAACAGTTGCTGGGCTAGATCTTCCCTTGCATTGAGTCCTGCTGGAATGTGTGCATGACAGAGGACCAGAGGTAGGAATACAACCCTCCTGCTGCACAGGTTTTAGAGAAGCTCCAACAGAGGAAATGAGAGTAGTGCCAAATGAATCATTTCTGGGCTCTTCCTTTGCCTTCCCCACCCTTCTGTGTGACACAAGCCACCTTTTTGTGATACAGATCAGCAGACCTGGATATTTTTCCAGGACTTCAATGTAACCAGGTTTCTGGAATAAAACCTCAGGAAACATTAGGTCTATCAAATCCCCTCCCAGCTGTGGGACACATTCTTACGTGGTCCTTTGATTTTCTGTTGTGGCATTCAGCCTGGGGGCGCAGAGCATGTAAACGAGGATTCCCTCAGCTCAGTTTGTCCAGCTACATTCAACCAAATGGAGGAACTCTCTCAGGAAGTCCCTTTCCAGCTGTAATAACAGGCCCTCATCGTGCTAACCTGCTGCAGAGTTGTTTCCTGCTAAGAAGTAACCAGCCCCCTAATGAGGGGATTTTAGAGATGGGGGCAGAGGAAGTGAAGCAGAGCAGAGCTGCACTATTGGCATTTTTTAGTCCAGATCCCCATGTTATTTTGTTATTGGGATTTGCCCACTGCTAGTTAGGGCCTTAATTCCAGAGCTGCTTAGTTTCAGATACTTAACTCCTGGTTGCTTAGGCACACAAAGCTTCCTCTTTCTCAAGTCTCAATGGCTTTCAGTTGCTGCTCACATAACTCTGGTTGCACCAAGAATTGCCTTCCTGAGCTTCAGCAGCAGAGACATAGTGTGTTATAGACATTCAGCTTTCTGGTTTCAGAGATAACTTTGATTCCCAGCCACAAAATTGCCCATTAAGCTAAGGGAAGGTAGGAGAAGTGCCAAGGGCAGGGACAGCTGGAAGTGCAGTGACAAATCTGAACCAGAGGCAGAAAAAAGCTTCAAGTCTCCAGAGTCTCAGCCCTGAGCCCCTTCCACCTGGTTGTACTGAGTACATCAGGAGGCAGCTGTTAATAGGCTGGATTGCTGGTGACTTGAAATACACGACACAATGAACACAAACTGGTATCTCCCTGTTTAGTTTCCTCTATAAAACCCTATCTCTACTCTCTCCTCTCTCCCTCTCTTGTTTCATGATCCCTGCTAGAAATACATAGATTTACTCGTAACAAATTGCACCAGGATCAAAACAGCTGTATCTAAATTTATGGTCTAATTTTTAAACAGAGTCATTTCCTGCTGTTTTGCCTGCCTCCTGAGTCAGTCATGTATACTTCTACATACTGCCAGACATGGGCAATTCTTATTGAGAGATGAAGCCATTCCAACCCAGAGCCAGTATGCCTTTCAAAGGCCAAATCTTTTAGTTCTTACTCAAGCTTTTAACTGTGATGATCCAGACAAGTGTTTTCTCATGGCCCCTACGTTACAGCTCTCATTATGCTCTTGATTGCATTTCAGAGATGCAGAAAGAGTGACAGAAGCTACTTTACAGTGCTTTTCAGAGGTGGTGTTGGGATGAGTTTGAATAATTTGTTTATTTGATTAGCTTATACTGAGATGCTCCAGAGCTGGTAACAGTTCTCATTATATACTGGCTGCAGAGCACACTGCAAAGAGGATCTGCTCTGTCTCACGGCAGAAGACAGCAAAGATATGAAAGGAACTTCAAATACTTCAAAAGGCAGTATACAAATAGTCATAATCCCTCCTTCTCAACACGCTACCTTGACAGTACTGGCTTAAGAATCAGCAGCACTTCTACACTAAGCTAGCTATCTTGCTTAGCCCCTCAAGGACAGCAGGCAGAAGGGAAGGATCCTCCTCCCAGCCAACTCTCTAGCTGTTTATTTTCAATTTCAGAGGCTCATATCACATGTGGAACTTTCTCAATCCTGGGTTTTGGTTTTGGATTCACAGTGCTTGAGCACAGAGATGGTTATTTTACCATCCCAGATTTCCACTGGGGTGGACTGTGGCTTTCAAAATTCAAACAAACAAACCTGCCATCTTCATCCTTCTTGCACAGGGTCATCTCCTTTCAAGGATATTTTTAAAAGAATTATAATTAATGGTAGAAACTGAAGCACTAACGTAGAACAAATTCCACAAGGACAAGCAGTACAGCAGCCTCCTCCTAGCAAAACTTTCTAGATGAGTATGAAGTAAACACAGCTTTGCAGACATGCACGGTCAGACACCAAGCTTCTCAACCAGTGGGAGTCCTGGAAATCCCCTGGGAGACCAAGCCCTGGTTTCCTCATTGGAATAAAACACATGAAGGGACACTCACAGTTTAATGCATTCAGCTCCAGGTGCCAGATCAAACTGTGGCATCCTGTGTAATCCTTGCTGAAAGGTAAAGCAAAGAGCTACCTGGAGGACCTCCAAAGCACTGGATAAGAGGCATCCTCTCAAACAAAGGTGAGCCAGAGTTGAGGGAAGGCCCCAAATCTGTGCCAGGTGGGAATAAGAAAAACATAGGTAGATTTCTCTAAAAGTCCCTCTGAAGCAAGACTGGGAGAGATGGGTCAGGATAGGAGAAACTTTTCCTGGCAACCTTTCTCCAGGTGGAAAAAGAATAGCCTTTTCATTGTATTTTATTTCATTTTTTCCTCGAGTTTTTCCAAGTGCTTCTGCACCTCTTTTCTCAGTGTTTCCTCTCCAGGAGGGTTGATCCTCAAACTCTCAGGGCGAGGTTTACCTTGGGTGATATCACACCTGACCACTGGCAGGTTCTGCAGCTTTGAATTTTCCCACTGCCCTCATTTTTCAAGGCTGAACTTCCCACCTCTGATGAATTCAGGCCTGAAATTCATGTAAATGCACCTTGCAGTGATTCACTCTCACCTCAGAGGAGGATTTCATAGCCTTTACTGAGCTGAGGTGTGTTTTGACTGTGCTCTGATCAAGTCCTCTCTACCCTAGTTCTATTGAAATGTCTTTAATACACAGCAACTGACACTGAGGAGGGAGAACCAAACATGTCATGGCAGGCTTTAAATTGGAAAGGTTCAGTTGTAAATACTTATATATATTCCAAAACAGATACAGCTCTACATTACATGGTGACAAAATCCCTTCCCATGTTCCTCAGCTACAGAAAAAAGATCAAACAAAGGACAGAGGTTTACTTACAGTTTCAGGGGTCCTGGAGGTGACACATTCTTCTTCACCAACTGTGTGTAGATAAAGAACAAGATTGAAATTCAATCCTCAACGTATTTTCCACCCTTCCTCCCCACCCAATCACCCAACCCCCCTCTTTTCCCTCCCCCCCCCCCCCCAAAAAAAAAGAAAAAAAAAAAAAAAGAAAACACTGAAGAACAAAAAAGAACACTGAGACCAAAAAACAAAATCCATCCACCTGTTCTGCATACAGCCAAGAGACTGATCTTATTTTTTCCTACATCTTGATATTGGTTGGCTTCGATTTGTCTAGCATTATGCAGGTATAGAATGTAATATTACCAGGTATCCTGAACTTGTTTCAGTGGGAGACAAAACTCAGTATCTGCATTTTGGGGAATTCACTGCCATTCTCCCAAGCTCATCGTCTCCCTAATATTGCCAAGTAATAACTAATTAACAGCTATGAGGCAGACTAGAAAATATTGCAAGACCTGAGAGAAAAAGCAGCACATGTTTTTTTAATAGCACTATTGAAGATGCATTTGCAGGCACTTTGATATTTGAATACTTTTCTATACATCACCAGTATTTTCTCAGAAATCCTGATGCCCATGTGAATGGACAATTTATAAAGAAAAGAGAGATTACTTGGTAGCAGCAAGGAGTTCAGGAGCTGAGGTCTTTAGGAAAATGCAAGCTGTAACTCTACCATTAGGTGGTTGCTAAAAAGATCACTCATAACAAGACCTGGGAAATGGATAGGTAGGAAGAGAGAAGAAAGGAGTAGGGCTAAGGTGGAAGGCAAAGGGCATGAGAATGCAGAAGCAGCAGTGCACTGTGGGAGGATGGGAGAAGTGAGGCTTTTCAGTCCATCACCAACAGTGGCACCTGTCCCAATCTTGGACTTGCTTGTATTTCAGTGGCTTGTCTTACTGCTGTGGCTTTGGGAAGAACAGCCTGTTTACAGGAAACAAGTTGGATGTGTTTCCCATAGCCTCACTGGGCCAGGGTGGAGGCAAAAACTGGCTCTTTCTGCTGCTGAGAAAGCTCCAGATTGCTGGGGAGTGTGAGCACTGCAGTTCCTTTCTTCCCACCCCTACCTCCTTCCTCCAACTTCAGACCTTCCCCAGTCTCAGCTACATGGGTATTCAGGGGTGTTACTGTTCCCAGAAGGGCTGTAGGATCCTGGAAGCTGCTGGGGCCACGGTGTGGCTAAGTCCCTGTGAACCATCCCCCAACTAATGTTACCCCCCTTACTTTGGACAGAAGTTTCACAAACGTATATGTGGACTTGTGATGGATGGTAGCAATGACAACAAAAGCATGATGTTGCACCACGTCTTGGCAGACGTGGCTCAGAAGGACAATTCAAGCTGCCGCCCTTTTCCCCCAGCAGTGTTGCTCTGTGTTCCCATGCACGCTTGCCTCTGGGGCGTGATGAGGACTAAACAAAATCCTGTGCGCCGTCTTCTTAATAGCAAGCACAGGGGGTTATCATTCCAGCCTTGAAAACTGGGGCTGCAAGCGGAGGAAGGGGAGACATATTTTGGAAGAAACAGATATTTAAAATACATCATATTTATTCTATTGGCCTTTTCCTTACCTCCCTTTTAGCTTGTAAAACTCCTACTGCCTCCCTTCCTTTTCAGCCAGATGTTTAGCTTGTTCCTCCCAGTACATGGCATTCCCATCATACTGTCCCAGCAGCTAATAACCTGCCTCACGAAGTTTAAAGAGGAGATCGTGGGCCAGCTTCTGGCCTGGTCCTTGCCACAGCTATTGCTTGACTTGTATGTAGCAGTATGTATTGAATGGAACTCCTACTCCTGATGAACTAAGGGTGCCAAACCGCATGAATCTGGGGTTTAGCAAAGCCTGATGACTTTGAGCTGGAGAGGCAGGGAATGCCAAGGGCAGCAAGCTCCAGCACAGTGGGTTTGTCACTGGCAAGGAGTGGCTGGCCCTGGAAAAAGGGAGATGTCCCAATTAGTCATCACCCACCCGCTGGTAGCTGGAAGGCACTCTCGTAGCATCCACCGCTCAGTGAGGCACTGCTTAGGTCAAGAGAGGCAAGGGTTGTTCCCTGAAGAGCGAAGAGCCTCTGGCCCAACCCAGCTACACATTCTACATTACCCACAAGCCTGCTAAGCTGCCAAGAGTCAATAGTGAATAAGCTTAATAGTGTGATGATGTGTATTTGGTGCAGGTCTAAAGCCATTGGGGATGGAAGTATCATGGGTAATATGTGGACCCAGACACACATTTCAATGTGACTGCACAGAATATATTGCATACTGACAGGAAGAAAAAGGTAAATGGAATGCTCATCCATAGCTTATTGTATGACTTACTATATTTTCATATTCCAGTTATTTCCAAGAGTTCAATTTCAATAATAAACTAAATATGGAAGACACACCAAATTTATTTATACACAATGGTGAGCTTTCCCATTACCAAAAGTGAAGCACAACAAAAAGGGATGAAAAACTTCTCAGCCGTTACAAAAGTATATCCTGCAGTCAGGAGATACATGAAAAGGAAGTTGCTTTCTACAAAAGCTCTGTTGTCAAACTCTTTACTTCTGTCTCCCAGCCCTGTACAAATATGTTTTGGGAAGATGTATCTGAAAGAACATGGTATGAGGAAAGTTTTGAGGTGAGAATTCAAAGATATGAAAAGAAAATGAATTCTGGTGGAATTTAGTTTTCATATGGACTGATTAAGACCAACTTAAGAGTCCATTCAACTGGTTTGGACTCTTCTCCTTCAGCTCTCCTGTGAGTTCTCCAGAGCAGAGATATCTCTGTGATAATTGCAACAATGCTAATAGCAACAAATATTTAACTGGAAGTTCACATGGCAGCCTAATGATCAGCTTGATGCATTCTGATCTCTTGTCACATGTTAACCCTCAATGGGAAACAGAATTCGTAAGACAAAAGGAGTAGGGACCACATCACCAGAGCCAGAAACGTACATTTCTTTGTAACTGCATTTGTGCATTGAACTGTATGGGTTGCAGATGCCTGCCAATATGTGTCTCTGCCTCCCCATCACCTGCACTTCAACAAAAAGATCTACAGTGCACTCTTTTATTCAAAGGCCTTTAAAAATCACCCAGGATACACCATGGCTACAGACCTAACCTATCCTTCCCTTGGGAAAGTGCTAGACAGACCCTGGCAAGGTACATTGTGCTATGGTCTTCTAACTTTACCCTTTCATATATCCTTTTATTGTCCCCAAGAAAAAACAGACTCATAAAATGCAACTCATTAAATGTCCGAGCGCTGATAGACACTACAACTAAGCCTGTGCTATTTAGACTTTCAAATTTCACATGGTATTAAAAAATTTACAGGACACTTGATCCTCTTTAATTTTGCAAAACAACCTTTTGGGTCCTAACGTTATAAACCAGTGGTGAAAGTGAATTAAAGGAACTCAGATTTTATTGTGATCCATGTTACTAGGAGTTGCGCTTTAACACTTCAAGACTTGGCCTAAAGGTAAAGAAGCAGTAGCTTTTACAGACTTTTTTCCAGCTGAGAGAGGCTGGCAAGGTACAGAACTAAATAATCCAATGAATGCCATTCCAAAATGTACTGGGTCCCATGGATAATTTGAGGCAGATTGCTCAGAAACCTCTTATGTTTTTTTTTTTTTTTTTTTTTAACCAAAGTGCAGATCAAGAAAAGTGAGAGAGAGGTCCTTCTAATTTAGTCATACGGATCTGATTTTGAGGCAGTTAAGCAAAACCGAAAGGGAAAGACTTTCCCTCAACTGTGCTGAAAGTGTGGAGATAGGTACTGCAAATCCCCTTTTCATAGAGCAGAAGTCACCCTGGGCATCACAGATTTCTTTCCATCTCACAGAATACATAGCTATTCTGCCAGGAGTGCTCAAAAGTTTGTTAAGGACAAGAATGTGTAATGCTATCATAGCTGAGAGAACTTCAGGCATGATACAACCTAGTAATGTGATCAGAAAACATGTGGCCTGCCTGATTCCCTCAGTTGGTTTTAACATTTCCCCTGCTATTAATCCATGTGGACAAGAAAATTGAAACAACAGTTATAAGACATTTGTTAGGGACTTCGCCCATCTGAGAGTGAGATTTGATGAATATGCTGAAAGCCATTATTAGAAACCTTTAGAGAAAGAGATGCTACCTACCCACAAGCTCTTAAAAACAGAATTTTATGATCACAGATAGGATTAGTCCAGCAATTTAACTTGAAGTTAACTTGAATAACTTGAAGTGTTGATGAGATATTGGGCAAAAAAGGGCTATTGCAAGAACAAGTTTCTTTTAATAAGCACCAGGTGCTGAAGATGGTAATCAAAGGAAGGTGGCCATGCTTGTATTCCCTCTTTGTTCATTCAGTTTGCGAATTTGAAACATGGGTCTAACGTTGCTGATGTGTCCAAAGAGCTGGAGAGCAGCTTGATACATCAAATGCCACGATGTCCTCAGAGAGTAGATGCTACTAAGAGCTGAAAACTGCTGAGGAATGCATCTAGCTTTAGAGGAATCTCAGCCTACCAACAGTTAGTTCCTGCTTATGACAGACTTTAGAGTAGAAAGTACACAATGTCATGGTTCTTGAATGTGGTCCTGGCTTGGGTGGATACAAGCCTGAAGAAATTACAAGAAATTACACATCTGAGCATTTGAGAAGTCATAGTGTAAGTGATGGTATTCAAGCCTGTGGCATAAGACCAATAATGCAGTACAAAGGAGATGCCATTTATGAATTTGAGGAACTTGGAGATAAAAGTCAATGATCTGACTGGGCAAATGTATGTTCATACTCCATCCTGTACATACCCAATGAAACTTTAAAACACTGAAGCAAACAAAACCTTAAATCATCTTATTTCACACTAAACAAGGAAAATATTGTGAGAGTTTTAAAAATATTTATTGCTTTGTGTCGCTAAACAAAACAGAAAGTGCAGTTTTCTAGTGCCCTTGTACCCAAAGAGTTCAGGGCTGCTTAATTAATTACTTTGTTGATTTTTGATACTATTTGTCAAGTGTGTAA